AAGCAGTGGAAGGAGTAAGAGTTGAGCTATGCGCTTTCCAGCTGTAATAGTTCTGATTAAATTTGGAGAGGAAGCCATAATTTTTATCTCTCCCTCATAGTCATTATCTATTACTCCTGGAAAGAGTTGAAGTCCCTCCATAGTGGCACTACTACGACCTATGAGTATTGCAAAGGTGTTTGGAGGTAAAGGGCCAAAGATTCTGGTAGGCAAGGCCTGTACCCCCATCTTGGGAGTTAATACTGTGTGGGTGGTGGAACAGAGGTCCAGTCCTGTGCTTCCTGGAGTCGCTCTGGAGAGGTCTGAAATGGATTGTTTGTTGGAACAGTTTGCATTGTCCCAAAACCTTGTTTGGGTCTAGGGGCCAGGGGCTGGCCCCTGTTCCCATTTCCCTGAGAGTGAGTGGTCTGCCATGGATATGTGTTTTGGACCTGCACTAGTTGGCAGGATGACATCCCCTCTGGCACTTAATGCATAACTCAAGGGGTTGACTCTATCTCTGATCTTTAATATTTTTTGTTTTACACTGTTTTGCCATGTGTCCTGGGCAACCACATTTAAAACAATTACCTCAATTATTGCAGTCAAGGATTTGGCGGATGGTGTACCCTTGAAGGGCAGCGGCCACGGCCAATCCCTGTTGATATGCTGATCCCATCTCTGAACACAGACGTATGTACCCTGTCAGGTCTGTCTTTTTCCTGTGTGGTCTAATGGCTGCCTGACCAGAAGTGTTAGCATTTTCATATGCCAGTTGTTTTACAAAGTCTGTATTTGCATCAGCATTACTGAATATTCTTTCTGATGTGGTAATTAGTTGATGCACAAAGTCAGAAGAAGATTCATCAGGCCCTTGTCTAATGTTTGTAAGGGAGGTGCTCAAATCTCCTTTTGCAGGGAGTTTTTTCCAGGCCTTTATGCCTGCCGTATGAATTTGTGCAAAGAGCCCTGGGTTATACTGCATTTGATTTTCATTGTGTGCATAGTTTCCTTCTCCTATTAACATTTTGACTGTCCAGCCGTTATTGGCCTAGGCATTGCGGCAGGCGCTTTCCTTCCAAGACTCCACATAGCAAGTAGTCCCCTCCTGAAAGTGTAGCTCAGGTTAATGTTTGCCAATCAGACAGTGTGAGCCAGCCCTTGGCGATAGCTTCAACTATAGCTAAGGTATACGGAGCTACTGTAGCTCCGTATTGGGCGACTGCCACCTTAATTTCTTTTACCATTTTAACGTCAAACCCACTGTGACGGCACCAAACATGTCCTTGGGGATCCGTAGTTTCTGTAACAGGGAATGTCTCAAAGTCTGTCATATGTGATCCCTGGACTAGTTTTATTTCTTTGTCTGTATTGGTTTTTAGTTTCTCTAATTGTGATATTGGTTCCCGGTGTTCTTTTTCTAATTGAATTTGTTCTTTTAATTGTTTTATTTCATTAATTATTTTTTGTTTTGGGTCAATAAGAGGCGGTGCTGAGGCAGTAATGTTATAGGGTGATGGCCGTTTTTTGAAGGGCAACCTTTAGAGGTTATTATATTTGTCAGCCTCGGCCTCTAGGATTTCCTCCTCTGAACTAGTTGATGACTCATTTTTCTTTGACTCTTGTAGAGCCTTAAGGTTGTTTTTTCTTTTTTAGTTTTTTGGATTGTTTGGGTTTTGTCTTGCCTTTGGGCTTTTAACTTCTTCCTCACTATCTAGGGAAATAAGATCTTCTCCCTGTTCTTTTTCAATTTTGGAATCCTTGGTTAGATCGACCATAGTGGCAAGGGCTTCTTTTAAGCCCTGAATGAATAGTTTGTGCTGACTAAGCTCTTGTTCGTGCTGACTAAGCTCTTGTCCCGTTATTACCCTTATTACTTATGAGTAAGTAACCAAGTAACCTTTGTTACTTACCAGGACGATTCTCTGCCATCCCCTTCTGGACGATTCTCTGTCATCCCCTTCGAGACAATTCCCTGCCGTCCTCTTCTGGTTTCCACCGCAGCCTTTCTCTTTATTTCGGTGCTCAGGACGATTCTCTGCCATCCTCTTCTGTTTTCCTCTGCAGCCTTTCTTGGGACAATTCTCTGCTGTCCCCTTCTTGGGTGCTCTTCACTGGATCCTTAGTACTCAGGTCCCTGTTCGGGCGCCACGTGTCCCGACCCACAGGACAGTCGAACAGGTTTCCTGAGGGAAGGAATGAGAGACGGGATGAACTGCGCAATGTTACAGCAGGAGAATGACACAGCTCTTCAGGGTCATCCATTTATTGTGGGCCAGGGATCGTGGTTATATACATGTTGGTGGGCAGTGATTGGTTGTTCTATATGTAAATTAAGGATTATAAAATGTGGGTTATGATTGGTTGCTTTTGTGGACAAATCATGAGGTGCCATATATGCGAATCTGAGGGATTCTAAGCTCACCAATCAGTGAGCACTATGGGAAGCAGCCAATTAGAGTATGGTTTTGAAGGTGAGGTTTTGAAGGGGAGGCAATTGTAGCCTTTGGGATTGTGTAATTGTTTGCTCTCTGAGAAACTGAAACCTAGGGGCTTCCTAAGATGGCAATAGTAAGAGACTTATGACAGTGGCCTCGGCAGACTCGCTGGTGTGCAGCCTCTCACAGAGAATGAGTTGAAAAAAAAAACCACTTTCTAAGGATGACATATGAATAGCCAGAAGACATATGAAGAAATGCTTAACATCCCTCATCATAAGGGAATTGCAGATTGAAACAACAATGAGATAGCACCTAACCCCAGGCAGAATGTCTAAGATTTAAAAAAAAAAATGATACATGTTGGCGGGAGTGTGGTGAAAGGGGGAAATGTAAATTGCTGGTGGGAATGTAAATTGGTCCAGCCACTGTGGAGAACAATTTGGAGAGTCCTCAAAAATCTACAAATAGAATTACCATATGATCCAGCAATCCCACTCCTTGGTATCTACCCAAAGGACAGAAGAATTCTTCATCAGAAAAGTGTTTGCACATTGATGTTTATTGCGGTACTATTCACAATTGCTAAGACATGGAACCAACCGAAATGCCCCTGAACAGATGAATGGATTGAAAAACTGTGGCACATATACTCTATGGAATACTATTCATCCATTAAAAAACCCAAACCAAAACAAAACAAAAAACAAACAAAACAAAAAACAAACAAAACAAAAAACCCTTGGCTTTTGACAGAATGTGGAAGAATATGGAAGATCTACTGCTGAGTGAAGCAAGCCAGGCTATGAAGGAGAGACATTGTATGTCCCCACTTAATATATACTGAGTGTCCGCACTCTATGACTGAAACTGATTGACTAAAGTATATACAAACCCAGTAAATGGGTGTAAATACCAGATATAGTGTGTGTGGAAGAGTAGGGCCTGAGGAAGGACATTTTAGAAGAAAAATAGGAAGGCAAAGCATTAATGGGACAAAGAAATGTGATATTACCTGTTGAAGCTATTTTACAGTTTCATCAACTAGACTAGGGAGAAATGCTCCCATATTGAAATATTCACTCTGCAAGCTAAATAATGTGACTGAATGTATAAAAGAAAATGAAATTTTAAAAATATGGGGGAAAAAAAGAGATCTGAGCAGCATACCTCTATGGCTGCCACAAAGATAATGCTTTGACATGTTCTCTTTCTGGTATGAGCATTTTTGTTACTAAAATAATTAACTGCTTGTAATGTAAATCTTAGATAACATACTCAAATAGGTCAGATTTTTTTCTTATGTTGTGTTGAGCTGTCTGACCATGCTGGTACTGGAGCTCTCAAGGGTCGATGAACCAGATTTATATTTTATTGCTCTACCACTCTTAGTAGCAGGCTTCTACTTCATTGTCTCAAATGGCTATATTTGTCCTAGCCATTACTTTGCTTTTTTTTTTGCCAGTTTATAGAGAGCAGGAAGCAAGTAGAAATGGTATAGATCATCCCTTTAAGCTCACTTACACCCATCATATGCACATACATATACATACAAATTTTTTTCATGTAACTTTCCAGAATTTTGTCATATAAGCATATCTATTTAAGCAAGCCAAGTGCCTGGCCAAAAATTGAGAAAACAGGGATAATAAATAGAATAATGACTGTCTTTGAGTTTTTGGGTTTTTTTTTTTTTTTTTTTTTTTTTTTTTTGTGATTGTCAGAGAGCACATGCGTTTACCACAGAAAAAGAAAGCACCCCTCCAGCAGCACAGGTCATACTGACATCCCTTCTCCATTTCTTCATTGCCTCCCAGGGGAATTTCCATGCCACAATCCTTTCTCCTCTATTCTCAGATTTTGGGCACAGACACACACGTGCACGCACACATGCACACACACACACACACACACACAGACACACACACACCGTGATTTTCAAGACCCCAGGTCTGGGAATTGAACCATGGGCAGTCATGTGGGAGTCCAGTGTTGTAACCACCACACTATCTTCTGGCCCCTAAGTTTTATTTTTTCATTTCTTTTACACTCAGTATAAACTGTTGCATAATATCGTTTCTTGGGACCAGCAGTTAGTGTAGTGGCTATGTCGCTGGAATCCCATGTAGTCGACTGCGGTTCCCATCCTGGACCTGGTGGCTTAAAACTTATGCCAGGTGTGTGTGCATGCATGCCCAAGATCCTGAGAGGAGAACGGAGGAGAAGGGATTGCGGCATGGTCATATCCCCTGGGGGGTGATTTCTCACTTTCTGTCTCTGTCTCTGTCTGTCTGGTGAGTGCACACGCCCTATCGCAAAAACCTCTAAAAAAAATGTTTCTTTAACCCATAGTAGTTATTAAAGATATGTGTTTTTAAATCAATGTAAACTTTTAGGATGCTACTAATATGACTTTTTTCCCAGAAAATAATAAAATCAGGTAAAGGTATTTTTGTTTGTTTTGTTTTGTTTGTTTTTTAAATAACCTCTTATCCTGAGTAGTAGCAGAAGGAGGTTCAGTGTGTTTTGTCCACATCACTCAAGATGGATGACTTTAGATTGAGTAGGAGTATGTTGTTACAGGGAACAGTGACATTCAAAGATGTGGCTATTGACTTCACCCAGGAGGAGTGGAAGAGATTGGATCCTGCTCAGCGTAACCTGTACCGGAATGTGATGCTCGAAAACTATAACAACTTAATCACAGTGGGTAAGAGTAGTTTACTATATAAGTACTGTATAATTTAAATTCTGGGAATTTTTCCCCAAATGTTTCTGATCTATGTGGAACTTTCCAGTGTTATACAATAACTTTCTGTATAATTACTATATGATTTGAATTCTGTATAATTACTATATGATTTGAAATTTTTTCTCCAGTGTTTCTGAAATGTGTGGAACTTTCAAATGTTGGAGTGAGTTTGGCCTTGATATGCTTTTGTTCATGTAAATATCCAAGCTGAAGCTTTCAAAGCAATAGGCCATCCTCAGTTATATTTCAAGGGCAGCATCCCCAGAGGCCGCATTTTTTTGTCCTTCAGAAAGTCTGATTTCCCTAGAACTGTCTCAATTTTTGGATTGTTCTTTGTTTCTAGCATGTATGCTAAAAATTGATGTCATTTCCTTAATAGGTTATCCATTCACCAAACCTGAGGTGATTTTCAAGTTGGAGCAAGAAGAAGAACCATGGGTGGTGGAGGAAGAAGTATTAAGAAGGCACTGTCCAGGTTAGTGGGGGGGAACTAAACAAGTGAAAAGGATGCAGGAACTTATTAATGATTAATCAGTGAGTAGTTGATTTCTCTGAAATACTCTATCTTGTTGGGACTTGGGGCATGGAAGCACACATGCCTGACATGTTCTTCAAGCTGCTAGGGCTGGAATCCAATGCCCTTAACCACCAGGAGTTGGGGCCAGCCCTGATATAATCTTCAAAGATACTTTCCTATAGCTCATAGCCTTTTATAATGGCAATTGGTATTAACTCTTTATGAAAACCCAATATATTTTTAGATACTATTCTTCTTTCCTCAGAATTGAGGTCTGATTGACTTTCTTGCCTACATGCTAGGTACCAAATTTTCTTGATTAATTTCTAGCCTTACTTTGAAAATCATTCTATTATTGACATCTTTCATTTCTCTGTCTACGTTTTTACATAGGATCCCTTCTTCTTGCATAAAGACATGCGTGGATTTGTAGTTGTTGAAATAAACTTGTTCATATTTATAGTCATTTACTTTCTATTTGGTCTTTTTTAAATAAATAATTACTAATTTTATTTATTTTTTAAGAGATTGTTGCTGTAGGGTGAGATGGAGAGACAGAGAGCAAGAATCACCCCCAGGGGGAATAGCCATGCTGCAATTCCTTCACCATTCTCCCCTTGGGATTTTGGGCATGCACACACACGCATCCAGCATTTGTTTTAAGCCAGTGGGTCCAGGATTCAAAATGGGGTCAACTATGTGGGAATCCAGTGACATAAACATTATACCATCTACTGGTCCCTATTATTATTATTTTTTAATTTGCTATAGGACACATGCTCACCAGAGAGAGACGGGGAGGGAAAGAAATGGGGAAGGTGAGAAAGCAAGCCACCAGGTCCAGGACTGGAACCATGCTTGGCCATTTGGGAATCCAGTGCCTCAGCCACTGTGCCACCTGTTGGCCTCTCTACCTGCTCTTTTTCATTCTAATTAAATTTTCAAATTTGTTGGTCTGAAATTGCTTATGGTGTCCTCCTTTTATTTATTTATTTTTTGAGAGGTTTTTCACTATAGGGCGCATGTGCTCGCCAGACAGATAGAGAGAGACAGAGAGACAGAAAGCGAGAAATCACCCCCCAGGGGGGATGGCCA